TGCCACCCACCTGTGTGTCATGACAGCGCTCACGCCTTCTGTGTGCACAGCAAGTGCGAGTGTGGAAGTGAGTGCATTGTGTCGTGGTTTCATTATGGTGATGATGAGGATGATGATGATTATGATGATTGTTATTATTATTACTACTACCACCACTATTATTAATATTATCATTATTATTATTATTATTATTATTATTATTATTATTATATTATTATTATTATAATTATTATTGTCATTATCATCATTACAATCACTATTTTTTAAATTCATTTTCAGTACATGTATTGTTATTTTTATCATTATTACTTTTCTGTACAAAATTATGATGATGCCTTTGATACTTTGCTGTAAATATTTTTCGCCAACTGCCCCTCTCCTCCTCTCTCGTTCTCTCTCTCATTCTTTCTTTGTCTGTCTCGTTCTCTCTCCCCTCCTCTCTCTGCCTCTGTTTTTGTCTGTCTGTCTGTCTGTCTGTCTGTCTGTCTGTCTGTCTGTCTGTCTGTCTGTCTCTCTCTCTCTCTCTCTCTCTCTCTCTCTCTCTCTCGCTCTCTCTCTCTCTTTTCTTTCTACCTCTTTCTTTATTCTTTTTATTCCCCTCTTGCCCTATCTCCCTCTCTTTTTTCTCTTGCTCTATTTCTTTGTCTTTGTCTTCGTCTTTTTCTTTCTTATTCTCTCTCTCATTTTTTCTCTCCGCTTCTCTCTCTCTCTCTCTCTCTCTCTCTCTCTCTCTATCTCTCTCTCTCTCTCCCCCTCTCTATCGATCTATCAATCTCTCTCTCTTTCTCTCTCTCTCTCTCTCTCTCTCTCTGTCTCTCTCTCTCTCTCTCTCTCTCTCTCTCTCTCTTTCCACCCAGTTCTTTCTTTCTATCTCTCCATCTTCCCACCTCTCTCTCTCTCTCTCTCTCTCACACACACACACACACACACACACACACACACACACACACACACACACATACTCTCTCTCTCTATTTCTACTGTTTGTATTACTATTATTATTAGGCCAGGGCAAGATCGACTCTGGGATCGATTCTTTCGAGTCCAAATGAGGACTCAAAGAATTGATCTTGTTCACAGACTCTAAGCTTCGAGTCCGCCCAGGGTCGATGCCTCCCGTCTCCCTTTTTTTAGCCTGGTTCCTAGCCTAGACTCCGAGAATCGAGGCAAAAATCTAAATCTCTATCGCACTATTACAGTCCTGTCGTGGGATAGGCCGAGGGCTGTCTCACCTCACAGTCGAGTTTTTCGCTTAAAAACAGACACCGCACCAGGACAGGACTGATCCGGCGCATAAGGCGGCTTCTTTGATGTTGGCCTAGGCAGAGTTAAAAATGCATTCCAAAAATGTCTTAAATATTGGCCAAATTTAAGAAATAATAAGATTTTCGTGATCAGCGACCCAAAATTAGCAAATAATACGCGAGGAGCCCAATTTAATGCCCGATTACCAAGTTAAATTAATTTTTGTGAGTTTTGTTTACTTATGGTGCACTAGGCCTTGATACATGTAGATGCAAGACTGTGTCTTCAAGGTGGATGAATCGAGGTTGCATGTGCCTGTGCTCTGTTGCTTCGTATTATAAAAAAGAGTAAAGAGAAAACAGTATTAGGTCATACTGTCCCACCGATGTTGTAGCAATTCACAACTGCTCGGGACTCAATGCAACAAAAATGTCGCGTCCCAATAATAGGTGCGGTACATTACACTCAAGTTCAAAGGTTTCAAACGTCAGACGGGTCTGTCCCGGGACGAACTTTCGTAGGTCTAGTGAGGTAGAGGCAAGAAACTGCCAGTCAGTCACTATCAATTGTCTCACGCAACCCCCCACCCCACCCCACCTTCCTCTATCTCTTCCCCGCTATGATTGAATGCTAAACTAGGCCTAGGCCTAACTTGTCGTGTCTACCGTGTAGCCCAGTACGAAATCACGCTGCACATAGGCTACTGCTACTTTGAATGTTGTTACCCTACCCCCGCCCATCCCAAATTAAATCATTCACTTCCCTTTTCTCTTTCTTTTGTCTTGAACATTGAACGCTTGCTTTTGAATTTCACGGCACTTTCATCTTCCGTGTACTCGTATTCTTGTGTACATCATATTGTGTGTTTTGAGTTGACATCAATGAGTCATCATATCTGGACGTCGATCTTTAGCTTGGGGCTTTTTTTTATAAGCAGGAAAACACAGTACTGTTGTTTGTATGATTTGTAATAATGTTTTGACGTACAATAACACAACGTCGACTATAACAAAACATTTGTCATCAAAGCATGCTTTGACATATCAGGAAGCAAAGGGTGCAAGAGAGAAGGAGCCTAGCTGTGCCCCACGCATTGGCAAGAGTGATAGAAGGGAGGCAACACACACACACACACACACACACACACACACACACACACACACACACACACACACACACACACACACACATACCCAAACACTCACACACACACACACACACACTCACACACACGCAAACACACACCACACACACACACACACACACACACACAGAGCTATTTTTAGCAGTGTTAGAGACTCGAGGTCTCGATCTTAAGAGCTACTTTTAGCAGTGTTCAAGTCATGGCCTCTAAACACAGCCCACTTGAAGCAGCTTACAAACTCGAAAATCGGACTCGATTCCTCGATTCTTTTTCAGTTTGGAAATCGAGGCCTCGAGTCTTTTTGCCGTCGATCTTGCCCTGGCCTAATTATTATTATTAATATTATTATTATTATTATTATTATTATTGTTATTATTGTTATTATTATTATAATTGTTGTCGTTGTTATTTAGACGTCGTCGTAGGCAAGAGAGCGACCTCGTGCAGCGCTGACCACGACTGTCACCCACCTGTATGCGGCGACAGCCACCACGGAGTCTGGGTCTGAACGGACAGTGTGATTGCAA